TGAAAACCAGAAAGGGACCACAAGATGGGACAATGTCTGTAGAGAGAATAAAAAAACAGGATATATGCGTACGCCTGCGCGCATTTCAACTGTCACAACCATAGCATGATGCGCTCACAACACAGATAATGGACGCGGAGGGTACAGCGCCGCGGGGACGACGAAACACACTACAGGAATATTATTACAAGAAACACCGACGGCGTCTGTGGGCGGAGCGGGAACGGGGGCGAGATACGGGCATGCGGGCGTCGAGGGCGAGGCGGGGCGAGTGACACGCGCCCGCCAGCTCACCCTCGGAAGCGGTTGAGGATATTCCAGGGGTTGAGGATCTTCATGAGGCCCATGATGGGCTCCTGGATGCCCTTCATGAGGAAGTCTGTGGGGCGCATGAGGTCGTGGCCGTCGTGCTCCACGGACAGGTACTCGTCGCCGTGGGGGCCGCCCAGGATGGGGGGGTGCGGGGCCATCATCATGGGGTGGTGGGCGGGCATGTGGTGGCCGCCGGGACCCATGATGGGGTGGCCGCCCGAAGACAGGCTGTTGGTGAGGGGCGGCCCCGGCGGCGGCAGCTGCAGGAAGCTCGAGGTGGAGGGCGAGCCCGCGGCGGCGTCCTTCGAGCACGACCTCTGCTGCGGCGCCGAGTCCGCCTCTGCAAGGGCGAGCAACGAGTCAGTTGGGGAAAGGCAAGGCCACAGACACGCACGCACACGCACGCAGACACAGACACACTCATTCACACACACACACACATACACACACACACACGCACACACACACACACACAACACCTCCCCCCCCTACACACACACACACACACTACACACACACACACAACACCTAACCCCCTCCCCACACACACCCTCCCTCCCTTCCACCCATCCCACCTCCTTCCTCCCCCCTCTCCCCCTCCCCCATAACCCTTTCTCCCCTTCTCCTCCCGAACGCAAAGACTCACCGCAGAGACCCTGGTAGCTCGGCGAGGGGATGAGCCCGTCGCCCACGCAGTACGGCTGGCCGGGGTAGCCCATCTTGTACATGGAGCCCCCGATCACGTTTCCTCTGTGGAGAAGACGAGGGTTAGTTCGTGCTCTCTGGCTGTCTGTCCGTTTGGCTGTTGGTTTGTCTGTCGGCTTGGCTCTCTCTCTTTCTTTCTCTCTCTCTCTCTCTCTCTCTCTCTCTCTCTCTCTCTCTCTCTCTCTCTCTCTCTCTCTCTCTCTCTCTCTCTCTCTCTCTCTCTCTCTCCTTCTCCCTTCTCTCTCTCTCTCTTTCTCTCTCTCTCTAATTCTCTTTCTCTCCCTCTCCCTCTCCCTCTCCATCTCCTCCTCCTCCTCCTTCCTTTTTTCTTCTTCTTCAACGCACTCTCCCTCCTCCCTCTCTCCCTCTATCTTCATTTTCTACTTGTTCTCCCTCTCCCTTCTCCATCCTCTCATTTTCTCCCACAATTTCTCCCTCTCCCCCTTCTACCTTTCCTTCCTTCTCCCACTTTCATTCCCTTTTAAATCCCTTATTTCTTTCCCCCCTTTCTTCCCTTTACTTCACCCTTCTAACTCCCTCTCCCTCTCCTTTCCCCTTCTCCCTCTGCCCTTCTACCTCCCTCCCTTCTTCGTAACCACCCTCCCTCCTCTCCCTCCCCTTCGCCCTCTCTCTCTCCCTCTTTCTTCCACTTTTAAATCTCTCCCTACCCTTTCTTTTCTCCTACCCCCCTTCTCCCTCTTCTCCCTCCCTCTCCCTCCGTCTTCTCCCTTCTCCCTGTCCCTGTCCTTCTCCCTCTCTTTTTACAGTGTGCTATAGCGGTAGCCATCTCGTCTGGCGATCTTGCTGCCCCGCGCTCGAATCCCCTCAACCCTGGCCATTCCTTGCACGGGGTAATTTAGAAGCAAAATGAAACAGACATTATTATTATTATTTTTGTTATTATTGTAACTCCCTCTCCTTCTCCCTTTCCCTTTCTCTTTCTTCCTCTCCCCCTTCTACCTCCTTTCCTCCTCTCCCTCTCCCTTCTACTTCCTTTCCTTCTCTCCCTCTCCCCCTCCTCCTCCCTCTCCCTTCTCCCTCTCCCTCTCCCTCTTACTTCCTTTCCTTCTCTCCCTTTTCCCTCTCCTTCTCCCTTCTACCTTTTTTCCTCCTCTCCTTCTCCCTTCTACCTCCTTTCTTCCTCTCCCTCTCCCTCTCCGTCTCCCTCTTCCGCTCCTTCTCCCTTCTACTTCCTTCCTCCTCTCCCTCTCCCTTCTACTTCCTTTCCTTCTCTCCCTCTCCCTTCTCCCTTTCCCTCTCCATCTCCCTTCTTCCTTCTCCCTCTCCCTCTCCCTCTTCCGCTCCCTCTCCCTTCTACCTCCTTTCCTCCTCTCCTCCTCCCTCTCCCTCCCTTCTCCCTTCTCCCCCCCCCCCCTACATACCCTGGGGCGTAGTTGCAAACGTAGATCTTGGTGTATCCGCGAGACGGGTCCTTGTAGTAGGCGTATCCACATCCGACCAGGTGTGTCTCAGCCCACACCAT